GGGGGGGGGGGGGGGGGGGGTGGTAGAGAGTACGTATGACAACTTTATATATAATAAATATAAATGGGATCTAATATGAGCTTTCGAAAACTCGAAATGACAGGATTAAAAAATGTATATGCTGCTGCCGCACAAGGGCTCATACGTCGTCTCGGAGACAAAATAACGAAAGAAAAAGGATTTATTTTCAGCAAAGGCATCGTCGAGTACCATCTCTTATCAAGAAATGAAGATGCGAAGGCACAGAGACGGGCCTCTATCGTTATTATTGCGTGTTGCGTTTAAAATATAAAAAAGCTGCTCTACTCGGTAATCGCATTTTTTTTCGTGGGCGCGCGTATATATACTACTACGTACGCGCGAGACACAGTGGGTAGCACTCGACGCGGGGCGCGAGCGAGGCGCGCCTGCCGAGAGAGATACACGCAAGACTCCGTGTGTGTGCGCGCCCCGAGTTTTTTTTTTCTCCTGCAAAGGCAGAAAGAAAGAGACAAAAAGAAAATGATAAAAAGCTGTGTGCGCCGCCGTCGCTAGCGACACTCTTTGGGAGCTTCTTCTTCTGCTGCTACTGGCTGGCGCGCGAGTCAGTGTGTGTGCGTGTGTGTATTTTTCTCTGTATGGTGCTCTCGCGGAGCTCATTGTTTTATTGTTCCCGAGCGATGCTTTCGCAAAAAAAAAGAAAGAAAGAAAGAAAGAAAAAAAGAGGAGGAAGAAAAATGCAAAAAAAAGTAGCGAAACGTTGAGTCGAAATTATATCGCTCCGTACATCTGGATTCATTTGCATAAACAAACGCGAGACTAATGAATAAATGATTGAGTATCAACGAGTTCGTGTAATAACAGACAATTTTCACAGGGTTTAAGCTCGCATATATAGGTACCTAGCGCATGGGCAGAGAATGACGAGTAATTACGCGAATTGAATTCAGGCAGGCAGGCATGCGTTTACACGAGCAAACACAATATAATACTCAACAACAAAGGCGAGCGAGAGACATATAGAGATTCAGCAGTATAGTAGTTTTGTCCGATCATATACAGGTATTAACTGTGTTCTCTCGTTTCAAAACTCGGGATTTGAGCCTTACTCTCTCGCGTATATATATACGTACATTGTAGCAACAAAAAAAAGAGAGAAATTAAAAGTTTAGTGGATGATATATAAATATGTATATAGGTATCTGCGCGCGGGAAAAGCCGAAACAAAAAAGAAAAATAGCCTAGAGCGAAATAGAGGCTTTGCAATTCTCTACTGCTAGACAAGATTTTAATCCCGTAATGGGTCTTGTGTAAGCGCGTGCGAAAGGAAGATTTTCATAATACCGCTAACACGGCTAGTTGTGCGCGCACGGCGCAGAATTCAAATTGGATCGTAAGGCAAGTGTTGAGCTACTGTTTGTTCATGCGTTGTATATAGAAAATAGAGTGAGAGAGAAAAAAAGTCGGTCGAGTGGTTTGTTGGACGTGTTGGCAGTGTGTGTATACACACACACGCCTACAAAGAGTGCGCGAAAAAATCTCTCATTGGGGGAGAGAGAGAGAGAGAGAGAAATAAGCTTTTCCAAAGTGTTTTCTATCGCTCACACAGAGCAGCAGAGCAGCACGTGGAGCAAGCTTGAACTTGTTTTCTTTTCTTTTTTCTTTCGCACGATTGGAAATGAAGTATTTCAATTTAAAGCATACATATACGTGGTAAAATTAGTACTTTTAAACTGTGCAAATAAAAAGAAAAAAGATCGGGTAAAAAGTGTGAGTTAGAGCTCGATGTCAGAAATTAATTGAGCAAAAAAAAAAGAGAATGGCAAAATTTATTGCAATAACTACGCGAGTTGTATAAAATTACAAGTAAGCATCTCTCCACTAGAGAGAAGAAGCTTGGCCGTGCACCACCGTAAAAACAAATCATCCGATAAATCGATAAAGCTTTAGTTGTAATATGCATTTCAAAAAGGCGAATTTCATTACGCGCGCACGCTGCGCTCTCTAAAGAGGGAGGAGGTAGAAGGAGGGAAAAAAAAGTCAGCAGTGCATCAATTTTTTTCCTCCCAAGCAAAAATTACACGAGCGAAAAAAGAGAGAGAGAGAGAGAGAGACGAAGATAAGAGAAAAATATAAAAAAAAGTTTTAAAGCACGAGCGAGAGACGACGACGAGGGTTGAAAGCTAAATATATAGTCGTAGTAAGCTAAGCTAAGCGGCGTGTTCTTCTTATACCCAGCAATGACTCATAAAAACTGACTACCGAACTCTTATTTTAATTCTCTCTGTGTTTTCCTAGATTTAAATACTTTTTTTTTACATGGATGAGAAAAAATTTGTGTGACCCCGCGACGTCGATTATTCATTAGCGCGGCAGCGGCGGCGCCTATCTCTCTTTTGCTGCACGTTGCAACACGACTTCTCTCGCTCGAGCTTTCGTATACATACAGCAATATATGTATATTATAATATATAAGGCAAAGAGCTGCGGTGGAGAGACGCTGATAAACGAAAAATTAATAGCGGATTCCTGCCTGCCTTCGCTGCTCTTCTACTTCGAAGCGGGGGTGGGTGCAAGAGCTGCAACGGCAGCAGTAGCAGCAGACAACACACAAAAAGGTCATCTCTCTCTCTCTCTCTCTCTCTCTCTCTCTCTCTCTCTTTCCTCTCGAAAACTTAAAAAGTTGGCGAGCTCGCGCAGCAGCCAAGGGTTGTTGCTTGGCTTTCGACCTTTTTTTTTTACTCTCTCGAGGTCAAATTGCCGCGCGTTATATGCATCACATATGTATAGCGGACAACACATGTATTAGTATATCAGAAAAAGGGCTTTTTTTCATCATCCATGCCTTCATGCACGTCGCACGAATTTTTCATTGCTGATTTTTCGCTCGTGTATATGCAAACATTAGGCAAATGCATCCACGCGATCTCTCGTCTTCGATATAGGATATCCATCGAGAAGGGCAAAAATATGTAGATGAAAAAAATTCCTAGGCTACCAGAATGTAAGAGGAGAGCCGAGGACGTAATACGTCGTCGTCGTCCTGGGCGCATTACTACTCGAGAGCTTATAAATAGAATTTTTTCCTTCTTTCCATTTGCCTTGGTGGAATTTTGTT